GGGAAGAGGTAGTGAGGGGGTTTGGAGGGTGGCTAACGGTGGCGGGCGTCTATAATTTTAGGGGGCTAGTGTGTGGGGAATGTAAGTTCCCTCGTCACAAACTATATTGCGGCCTAATTTACAAATTCGATTTCAGTACAACAAAAAACGTAAAATGTTTAAGTTTCAATTGTCTACATGAATTTCATACTGTTTGCTGTCAGCATATCGACTATATCGCATACTGGCGGGCCCAGCGGCTGGGATCACAAGTCAGGTCACAATAATGGTATATTGCGCGCGTACTTGAGGGTTACACTCAGTGAATTCACAACTTTTTCGGCGAGGGTTTTGAATTTCCAATTTTCCACTTCTTGCTTCGCTCATCTACTGAATTTCGGCAATCTCACTCGCCAGTTCGTCGACATTTTCAGGATAATTTTTCTGACCAATCGAATTTCTCGTATTACGATTCCTGATCATTGAACTAATTATGAAAAATCCAGCATAAATCAGTAAACATCCTAAAATAGTAATGATAATTCTATTTGAAGAAGAAAGACTGTCTGGAGAAGTCTCAATCGGGGGAGTAGTAAAGGGTGTCATTGCAGGCTGCGAATCCTTCCAATTAACCCAGAGATTGTTCCACTTAGCTGGATCTCCATTATTGTCCCGAGGTATATTAGCAGCTGGAAGTGTAGTGCCTTTATGCTCCTTGAGCAATTGCTCCAACATTTGAGCAATTTCGGGGTGTTTCCCTATGATATTTATCATCTCACAGGGGTCCTTCTTAAGGTTGAAGAGACAGGGGGCCACGAGTGGATTACAAGCAACCTGAGCAGGATTTCATAAAATTATAATTTAATCTGTATACAATACGTCAGGAATGATAGGCCTCTATTGTCTGTCTGTCATTTTTAATTAACTTGTTCGAAGATTCGGCTATAGTTAAAGTAGACCAAGCAGGTGATCGCCTGCATGCGACAGTCGGTATTAGCAGTGCATTAATACGTTTTTCATAAATCTGTATCTTCTTCTGTTTTAACCCTCGGAAAAGAAATGACCGCTCCCCCTAGCGGAACCTCCCATGATTTTCTACTACGGTAGGCAGAGACCGTTAGGGCCGTAGCTGCCACCCGTGATCTTAATACATAGAAATAATTCAAAATGAATTCAAAAATTCATTCACGCATCATTTATTTTATCGTATAAACTTTAATGATCGATAATTTTCGAATGACATTTTTCCATAGGTTAACAAAATTTTAAATATAAACTGAAGATATTTGCGATTACTGATGAAAATCATATGGACTACTCTTCCTTTTCTCCATATTTCCACTTACAAAGTAGCACACTATTTATATTATTAGAATGAAATAGTATACTGTATTACAAGTGCGTAAAGAACCACTTTTTCGCACGCACGCGTAACACATCTAATTTTTTGAGATACCTACCGGGTTCACTGTTCGGAACGGTAGTAGGGGTAAAGTAGTTGTAAGCACTTGTAACGAGATTTTCTCGTTACGGTAAACTGTTTTACCAACTCGAAAACCAATGAGTCAAGAATGGTTAGAGTGAGGGACAGAGAGAGAGAGAGAGAGAGAGAGAGAGAGAGAGAGAGAGCGACATCTAACGCCAGCTGAAGAAGCTGAGCGAGAGATGAGAGTGACATCGAACGGCGGTTCAAGTGAACCGCGCGTGAGGTGAATAGACCAATCAAATAATGCCAAGAGGCGTGGTTTGGGTGCAACCATGCTTCTTAACATTATAGAGAGGCTGTCGATACCCTGTCGCCTTATGTAGAAACTCGCGCAGCTGTGTTTGGGGGAAACGGGCCAACGTACTGGCGTTCCAACTGGGCGATTCTAAAGGCGCTATCGACTTAGACTAGGGACCAACGGCTAGGTGAGAGGACTAACGCCCCCTCGATTGCCGTCGAGCTGATTGGTGGTGGTGGGGTAACGGATGACCCACCGCCGCTGAGATGTTCAGACTAGGG